TCTTCTTGACGAAAGCTGCCTTGGCCATGGCTATCCTTGCTTTTACCTCCTTGGTCCATAGAGCGTCCGTCGTGACTATGCTTCCCAAGTACTTGAAATGCTCCTCATTCTCCATCTGTTGGTTTCCAATTACAACGTTCAATTACATTAAGGTAATAATGTGTTGCTGAAACCTGTACGTTTGAGTGAATATTTAATCTATAACTCCCATGGTCTAGAATGATGAACATCTGATAGAACCAATCTCAATTATTTGTGACAGGAGTATCTGCTGCCAGATGTGAAGGACCGCCAGCACTTGATTATACTGCACAAACGCGCCCGAAAAGTGGGTCTCGACTTAGATCGCTACAACCAACTGAAGGAAGGTGTTTCACGAGTAGAAGCAGACATCAGAAGGTTACGGGATCCCCTGCAACTCCACCTACCGCCCAGCCACCAGCTGTCTGACCGGTCCAAGTCACCATTTCAACGTGCACAGGAACAGTTGCGATTTCTGCTGAATAAAACCAAAACGGCTTCGTAATAATGAAACTGTAGCCAAGTCGAAAAACCGGCCAAAGTACCATAAAGCGCCAAACACTTAATTGGTGCATCAGCTGAAAGAAGATGAAAAAGCCACCTCCATCTCATAGTGTTCATTTTCCTTTAGAATAACTGCACTGCTTGAATCACATTGCTAATATTTCACTTTGGTCTCCACAAATCAGCTGTTCTATATTCTTCCATCTTTTCAGTTTCCGCGCGTCTCGACAGTAAGAAAACTATTCACTGAGTCGGACTTACTTGGCTTTCAAACATTACAAATTACGTGGTAAAATCCTCTCGGGCGACCAGCCGTGTCAACTTTGAACAGAAGTCCAATTTTTCAGAGAATATGTCTGTCTTCATCATCAGGCAGTGATGTGATGGGTAACCAAAGTTGGTTGTCCGTGTATGTAATTGGTGGCCCTTCATGTTTGGTCAAGTGGAACCCATCTCGAGTCATTTGCTGAGTTGTTGTACCTGGAACTCGACCAATGATGTATTAAAAGGTTCCGTCATCTGCAAAGGCGATCGACCCTCCGGCCTTGTGCCACCTCTGTGTAGCTTAAACAAACCCATCACTTGGGCGGTCATTCTCCCCTTCTTGTTCTGTCTCCGTGTCGCTTAACCCGTCCACGGACCTCTCCGTTTTTGTCCCGTCCGAGTGTTGCTTAATCGTATGTGTCTTCTGGAGGATGTCGATGAGGGTGCCATTCCTGGCTCAGAATAAACCCATTGTCTCTGTTGAAATTATTGGAGTGCGGTCGTATTTCAGTTGCCACCTTTACCAGTCGATCCAAGCTAATTTTATGACTGGTTTTGATGCTGTGTTCTGCTACTGCCGATTTTTAAAGTTTGTGGTGTTGCATGTAATGCACATGCTCCTTGTTATGGTGCACCCTGTCTGGCCCACATACACTTTACCACACTTTCATGCAATCCAGTACGTACCTGGTACACGACCTCCAAGGTTGTCTTTCGCTGACCTCAGCAAGTTATTGCTGTTCTTGGGCACTTGAAGGGGCACTGATCATAGATACGACTGACTGCGGTTACCCGTCATATCATTCCATGACGATAGAGGCAGCCTCTCAAAAGTTGAACTTCTGTTTCGAGTTGACGTGGCCGGTCTCCTGAGAGGATTTCATCTCTGTTGCCGTGAAAGCTTCAAGTCGTATGTAATAAAAACTGTGGTTCTCCAGACAGAATAAATGTGAGGGATCATCAGACATTCATAAAAATCATCAAAACATATTCCCATCAGAGAGCGCACAACAAAGGATCAGATCTGTTACTCAGCAGCCCTGACGTCGAGAGCAGAGATTGTTCTCGAAACGTTGGCAGAATATATGGTTTATTCACCGTTCATCCACCTGACGCAGCTGGTAACCGGAGAATCTTTCAATAACTTCAGTCGTCGCGGAAGCTTCACTTTATACAAAACATATTCTAATTGATTACGTTGCGTTGCGGGTCATACAGCGTTGTGCATGGTATATGTAACCTCAAAGACTGAACGTTTACAATGTTCCTTTACGACTAAATTAGCTTGAGAGCAGCCGAAGCGTTGCCACATTCTTGACTAGTTTCATGCCATTAACCAGATTCCTATAGGGGCTGATTTTATATCATGCGCTGCAATGGTTTTGTACAAATGAGTTTTATTTTTGTGCGTGTGGCAAGCGTTAAAGCCGAATTTTATTCATTCATTGTGACAATCCTAATGAGATCTGAAAACTGTTCATGTTCATGAATAATGTATTTATATGTCGTAAGCAGTCGCAAGTTGTTGTAATGAGGAAAAGTTTATAATTTTTTCAGATGACAGGCCAAAAGTTAGGTGTGGTGCGATATTTCAGGGAAAATTATGTCTGTTGTATCTCCTAAGTGAATTACTTGCAGTGTGTCTCAAGCAAGCTGTTACAGGCTTGTTCTTTTATATGCTATTTGCATGTTGAGTGCAGTTTAAGAATGACATATACAGAATCACAAAAAAAAAAATATTGCAACCTTCCCGAACATATACCACAAAGACCGAGATACAACCTTGGGGGTTCCTAATGGGTTTTTTCTTGGAAAATTGTACCAAACTATTAACAGTGCTCAAATTAAAACTTTCTACACACCAAGACGATATAACGAAACACACACCTCACAGAATGCCAACACAGTTAATGCTCATGATGATGATGACTGCACAAGAATGTCATTTCTCAGAGCTGACCCACATTTTACGTGAAAGTCACGTCTGAAATCTGCGTTTTTAGAATCGTAACAATCTTGACGTCTAGCATTTGTTTGGCACCACAGAAATGCGTGCATTCTTAGGTACCTACTGTTTTAAGAAATTTCACTACTGACTTGTTTGTTACCTTGTCTTCATTCTCGTTTGTATTTCATTTTACTTTCCACCTGTCTCATTCGTATGTTAGTGGTAGAATGGTGATAAATGCTGAATTTTTGAGGGATAAGAACGATAACGGTTGTAGGATTTGAGGTTCTTACGACGGTGAGTCTGAAGGTGGCTGTCTTCTGGGTTGTTGCGCCTTGCAGTCTCTTAGATGTTTACCGACGTTTCAGAGGTCCTTGTTGCCTCCATCATTGACCTCATAATGGAGTCAGCAAGGACCTCTGAAACGTAGGTAAACTTGTAACAGACTGCAAGGGCAACAACCCAGAAGACAGCCACCTTCGGTGACAATGGTTGTAGCAGTAGCCTGGTATTTTCATGAGTGAAAGGGGAAAGCCGTGTATCCCAGGAGAGTTACAAAGCACATGCTCTGTTGCTTGGCACTTAATTTTTAGATGTGTCTTCTGCTTTGTCATAAGCGACGCTCAGATTTTCTGTCTTGAGTCGCCGGGGGATGATTCTCTGCCGTTATGCCACTACCTACAATCCTCTGCCCGGACAGGTAATATGCCGTTGCCCATGCTTATGTAATATAAAACTCAATGGGCGGTTTTAATTTATTCTCGTAGGACGTCATGCCAGCGGAGGCTTCTGATTTCCTACCGTCAGTAACGGCATGATGCTGTGTTATGCCACCTACCACTGATCTTACATATATTTAAGGCGGTGATTTTAAGAAGTATGAGGCGTAAGGAACGCCTTTCAAAGTTTTGTGTACTCTGAAAAGTACACTCTTCAATTTTTTCCCCCCCTTTATTTTTGCACTCAAGTTTTTGTCCCTGAGTTGAACTGTGAGACAGAATTTTGTTCATTCTGTTATGTTTTTCATGTACGCGGATCCTGCTCATTTCCTGTTCCGCATTGCTTCCCTAGTGACGAAGGGATGCCGGATTGATATAGTTGACAGGCCGTGGCGGTTTATGATTTTGGAATTGAAAGTAACATAAATCCGTGAAGGAGAAGAAAGATGTGGTAAGGAAATGTGTATCAGCTCTGATGATGCATTTGGCATTTCCGCACAATTTAGAGTGGAAATTTAAATTTGTTGGCAATCTGAAGCACAAAACAAAATTGTTGAATAGTCTCTTAGCAGAAACAGAATGTACTTATTTGTCATGTGCATCACTAGTCTCTTTATTAAATTCAAGTGAGAATTAAAATGTTATTACGGTAAGCTTGTTTCCTTTATTAAAATGTTACATGTAAATAATTGCCTTTGCTTAAACTGTCATTAATAATAATGAGAAAGTAGATATTATTGAGAGGCAGAATAGTGCCTGTTGTTGATATTAGCGAAGGCTACTGTCGCTAAGAATTCTTTTCAAAATTTCCTAGTACATATCATCGCCATTTAAACTTGAGAATACAGTGAAATGCCAAATATTTACACACCACCAGTTTATTGTTTTATTCTTCTAGTCTTGCGATAATTTAAATGTTGCGAGGCCATGCAAAGTGTCGCCAAGGGGCGAATAAGGACGGTTAAAATTGTAGACGTGTTCCGGAGAACAGGTGATCGATGACTTCATAAAACTGCTACTCCGCTTATGATGTACTTTTTTCGAGCCTAGCGTTACTCATGTTTACATGGCAGGTTGGGTGGTAGTTGAGTAACACCTCATTATGCACAGAAGTCATAAAGGAGAATGAGAGGAGAGTGGAACTGAAATGCGTCCCGAAAAACTGGTGGTGTTGTTGACTGTGTAAATACGTTGTCTGCTTTGTTCAGTGATGCAGTTCAGCTGAAGTGCCCACAATCTCTATGCCCCAAAGAACAGTGCAATACTTTGGAATTTCTTGACTGCTTTATGTTATGTTCTGATCGCAGCACCTCGTTCGTTTAGAACGGAATCACGTTTCATTATGTCTCTCTTAACACGGTATAATAAATACTGACTTTTATATATGTTGTTGTATTATGAAATCACAACTTGTATTTGTGTTAGCGCTGTTATTTATTTAATGTACTGCTTGAGTATGTTAACCCTTTTTCAGTGTTTAGCGCTGATAAAGATTTGTGTGTATGTTAACCCTTTTTCAGTGTTTAGCACTGATAAAGATTTGTGTTATTTTGTCTAAAGTGTACATAGTGTGGGTTAAATCTGTGATAGGTAACTTTTGCATTCTTTAATTTTCTTGTTTTTTTCCTTGAATACAGTATTCATCAAACAACTACAAAATTAATTTCTCTCATTTAACCATTATTGTTGGTATGCTGTGGTTGATGGATGATTCAATCGGTCATGCATTGTACCAACATACTGTTAAACCACTAACTCAGGAGTTAGAGTCCGGCCAGCAGTTCAAATCCCCTAGTCCCATAAGCTGAAGGTTGATGTACCACAATAAAATAAGTAGCAGACGTAAAATATGTATTAACGCACCCAAATTATTTTGATACTTAGTTGTTGAATATAAAAGTAAGGTAAAGCTGTCACGCCCTGTAGGCACATGGGGTAAGAGAAGGTATAGCTCCTACTCATTCTTTACCTTGGCACTAGATAGGGGTGAGTGGTAAATATCACGCCCTGGGCCGCGCTCTACTCCCAGGAAAGGATCCCGGTACCCGTTGTATGGGAGGTTAGGTGGGCCCCAGAGCCGGTGTGGACACGGAGGCTGGAGGAAAAATCCTCTACCCCTGTCGGGGATTGAACCCTGGTCGTCCAGTCCATGGTCAGTCACCGTACTGACTGAACTACCCGTGCTCCCATTGAATGTACAATTTAAAAAGACAGCTTGGCTAGAGACATCTTTCATATCTAAACATTACATAGTTCGCTGTCTCAATTTCTGTGTGGTGTTACATTTTTGAAATTGTTGATGAAAAGGAAAAACTACATGTTAGGAAATTATATTCAGTTAATGCATCCGATACATGGAAGAAGGTTCTGGGCTAAATGTGTGGTTTGTCCTGAAAGCACGTTAACCAAAATCTGGAATTAAAACATTTTAACATTCTTATGGTATGTGTATGAAAGTGTCTTAGATAAGAAATTTCAAAAGGTTGTCTTGTATCATCAACCATGTGTCGCTGCTCACACGCGATCCAGATGGCTGTGCCTGGCAAACCGCTGAATCGTTAAAATCTGTACTTAATGCTCATTGGTTGAGGGGTTTAAATCCCCTATACACGTAGGATGAAGATTAGGGGAGCGGAGCAGACCGAAACGACAGGAGGCTGAAGAAAATCGTAAAAACGATGTGCTTCATATTAACTCGGCTGCAAATATTATTAGGAAGATCAGGATGATGTGATGGGCTGTACATGTAGTATACATGGATAGCTGAAATGTGTACAATGTAAAGGGAAGAGACTGCTTGGAAGATCTAGGCATAAATGGAAGGATAATATTCAAATGGATCTTGAGGAAGTAGGATGGTATGTTGACTGGATCATCTGCTCGGGATCGGGTCCAGCAGTGGGGATGTTACGGACATTGTAATGAACATTTGGGCTACGTAAAATGTGGGGGATTTCTGGAGCAGCTGAGTGAGTATGGGGTTCACAAAAAGTACTTTGTTTAATGCAGTTGTTAGTTGTGATCGTATTCTTTTTCATGCATCTTTTATATGGGATGCTGTTAAGCAGTAGCGAGGAATGGGAGGATCAGAGCGCCGCAGGGCCGAAGAATAGCGAAAGAAACCAAACGAACGCTGTCTGCCCAGTGACTTTCATGGAAGGTGGGCATAAGTGCAGATTCAAAAGACATGTTTAATAGAAAATTAAAACTGAAGTTCAGTACAAATTGGAAGGTAGCGCAATGCAAGGGATGCGTAAGGCAAGTTCCGAGAGGTGAAGAGGTTTAAGCAGTTGAATGTTAGGGTGCATAAAAACTCTGTGACATAGTTTATTGAGATGACAGAAACAGAGAAGCTGTTGAAGAAATTAAGATTCATTTAGCTTGTGTTTTGTTTTATATTATCACATGTTACATTTTAAAAGGAACAAGTAAAATTAGTGATTTCATGGTTGGTCGATGGTATTACTGCTCTTTGAAGGCTGAAACATGACAGGGAATTAAGTAACACTAGTGTTTACTTAGCAATGAATTTGTCTCGTGATCTTTTGTTTGTGTTCAGTGTAATTATTGCTTTGTGTACGTTCATTTTCTGTCTGTATACCCTTATAATGGGTTTGATTGATACGGTTTTTCCTTAATTTACTGTTTGTCTTTCACCTGGATTAACTCATTGGCTGCAAATATTGTTTTTGTGTCTTGTCGTCTCGAACTGTTTTGTCCTCGTCTAAACAACGTTGGTGCAAGGACATTTCCTTGTCTCACTCTTCCATTGATTTTGAACCATTCTGATCTTCCTAAATTTGTTATAAAGCAGCTTGTACAGTTCATGTTAGCTTCATTTCCTCCACAGGATATTATGGTGTAAAATCAGTTATATTGCACCAGATGAGAGTAACTTTGAGCAGAAAGATACTGTTTGCTTTCTTTCCGTTGTTAAATATGTTGTTTTCCTACTGTGTAACAAAGGCAGGAATTTGTGGTCCACTGTTACTCAGAAAGAAGACAAACAAGACTGTATTTAATTAACAATTCAGTGTGTGTGAAAATGGCTGTCTTCTGGGTTGTTGCGCCGTGTAGTCTTGTAGAAGTTTGCCGGTTAAGAGGTCCTTGCTGCCTCCATCATCAGGGTGATGCTATGTGTGTTGTCTTCAGATAGTTACAGTGTTTTTTTTATAATTGTCAGACATAATCTGAAAGTTAGAATAAGTACCAGCTATTAAAATATTTTATAATTGAATTTGAACTGGAAATATGGAAACGCTGGTATAAATTATGGATTTGTACGGATACGTAGGAAGTAGTAAAACCAATGAAGACCTCAGTCAGGGTCTGACTATGGGAATCATTCTTAGAACTAGAGACGTCACCAGTAAGGAGTTAAGGAGAATCTTTGCCTTTTTTTTTGAAACCCAAAGGTTCATTACCAGCTTCACAAAGATCCTGCAAGAAATTTGGGCAACAGTCTTTAATGGGTTTGATGAACGTTGTGATCTGTTGAAAATCAACAGTTTTTTGAGAAGAAACCAGAAAAATATACTGTTGGGTTTCATATTTTGCAAGCGTTCGTTTCTGAATCTACAGAGTGTCCCTTTAATCTTCCGGATGATTTATTACACATGGTACTGCATTACCAATTGAACGGTAAAACTGTGAATCTGCGCACCAGCGAAGAAGAGATATATTGTGCATTTTAAATAGAATGTTCGATGAGAAATTATGACTTTCCGAAAGCATGTAGATGTATATTTCAGCCACACATTGGTATGCCAGTTGCATTTTATTTTTTACGTGCATAGTTTGTTAAAATGAATTTCAAAACTTGGTGTGGTATGTTTATTGTAATGTTAAGCTGATTCCTACTAAAATACATCGTAGCTGTAGAATCGTCTCAGTGGAGAGATTCTGTTGGGTTATATAATGACTATTAATAAAATATTTATGAAACTTTTTCAGTGTAATTTAATTTAATTTAATTTAATAACTGTTCGATATTAGTTACAAAGATTCATTTGTACATGTCTTTTATTTGCTACGTTACTTGAGGTGTCCACAGCAACCGTCACTCTTGTAGGACAGTGCGTAAAACAGCCAAAGGTGGCTACTATGAAAGTTTGTCATCCATTGTTTTATCAAGTTTATTATACTTCATATTACATGAACTTTGGTGGGATAAGGTAATAAAGGTTAATATCCATGTAACTCATGGATACTGAATCCAATATTTCATTTAGGCAGTATTGTGTGAGTGTTAACGAGATCACCAGTTCAGTAATCCTGCATTGTAATCAGTAAAGCAACGTGGAAGCACATAATAAAATTGACTTCAATTTTGACAAACAGCCTCAGTCAGCTGGAGTAGTATCTGTACTTAATTGCTTCTTTATGCAGAAATTAAAAAGTCTAACTGAAATCTAAGATTGAGAGCTTCCTCTTTTAAACTCGATATATTTTCTACTCTCTTGCATGCGCCGATTGAGCTTGGGAACAGGTTGTCGTAGTTTTCTTTGTAGGATTTGAGGTTTTCATGGCAGTGAGTTTGAAGATGGCCGTCTTCTGGGTCGTTGCGCTGTCTAGTCTGGCCCTGATGATGGATGCATCAAGGACCTCTGAAACATCAGTAAACTTCTACCCGACTACACTGCGCAGCAACCAGAAGACAGCCATCTTCATGGTTTTCTTTGTTTGCTCTCTTTCGGCTCGGTAGTTGTCTTGAACAAAATTATGGCGTTGAATATTGTGTTCTTTACTAATCTTGTTGGCAACTAGGTAGATGTGAACGACATTTCTAGATTATTACTACTGCAATAGTACTTCCTTTAAGAATAGTTAATAGTTTGATAATTGAGAGTAAAACAGTCGTATTTAATTTTGAAATTCGGGTTAACTCCTAGTCTCTTTCATTAGAATCCAGTTCAAATAGCCTCATATGCGAGATGTCAGTAACTCTTGTTTCTCTTGATTATCAATTACTTATTCATGTATTTAACTCTATGAGAGATTACATGAATGTGTGGAGATTTTATTGCATGTGTATGCTTCATATTGCACAATGTGATGAAGTTTCAGGGATGACCTGACATCAGAGATTCATACGATATCGAAAATTGCACTTTTTATGCATAATCAGAAGATTTCACGGCGACAAAGTATAATGAATTTTTCTCAGGCTACCTGTAATATAGGATGGGTTATTGAATAAAACACAAATGATTCGAGAACCATCTTCATCCTCGGGGTACAACCACCTGACACGACTGGTAGCCTGAGAATAATTCATTATACTTTGTCGCCGTGAAATCTTCTGATCATATATTCTAAGGATCTTCAATTATAATCTTCGCCAGATATTATTAGGAAGATGGAATCAAATATCGACATGGGTGGG